CGGGTGAGTCCCGCCCTGGCCAGCGTCCCTGCTCCCACCCCCGATCTAGAGACCCTGGGCTGGAGCGCCGGGCGGCGGGGCTGGGGGTGGGCAGCGGTGTTTAGACAGCTAAAAGCCAAGATCGCACTGTTAAAACTGGGAGACTGCAGAAGAGAGTCCGGGGAGGGTCCCGAATGGGGCTTGGCAAGCGTGCCATCGTCTTCTATGGGGAAGGGGCTTGGAACTTCCAAGGTCTGGCTGGGATTGACGGCTGGGAACGGTCACCGGGCAAGGGGCAGCGTCTGGGGCTTCCTTTCTTTTTTCCCTTTCAATCGTGAGATCCCTGGTAACGAACTAGCTGCTAGACGGAGACGATCTGCTGGAGGAGAGCGCTATCGAGTCAGCCTGCTGCTCCTCGGCGGCCTGAGAGGCGTGAGCGCTCCCCACTGGCTCCCAGGGCCCATTCAGAGAGTGGCACTTATTGCTGGTGGCTGCGAGCTCGTTATTCCTGAGCTGCAGGCGGCAAGATCTCTAGGGTTACTAAGCGCTGCAGAAGCAGCCACTCTGGGACACTCGTAAACTGTAGCAAGAACCCAGCGTTGGCCCAGCCTTGGGCCTTGGAATTGCATCAGCACCTCCAGAAATGGAAGGAGAGCCCACACGTTGCATGGGGCACTGCCTTCAGCACTTTTGGGGGCCTCTGGAGAGATGCCACCTTGTATCTAAGCAGACTACAAGCTGCTTAGGGAAGAGAAAAAAAAAACCACATCCATCCCACTTACAGTATCTCTTAATAGGAAGTGCACGTTTGCTGTGTTACACAAGAATTTGCTTTCGATTCGTCTTCTCTGCCAAAGCCATAATTACATGTGTGCAGATTCAAATGGAAACAGTTGGGAACTGGGAAGACGTGTCAAGTAGCACCAAGAACTGATCCAAAGTGGCATAAGTGGAAAAGCGTTATCCTCCAGACAACACCAAATAATGAGCATTCACTTTACCCCATGCAGGCAGTGCTAGTTATTTTGGAAGCATTCATCTCTTTTAAATAAAGAAAAAAGAGATCTGCTGTGGTGGAGCTTTTGCTTGTTCTCTCGAGCAGTGCACTGGATTCCTCCTTAAGTTTCTCCCGCCACGTGGCACACGGGAATCTAGGTTGGATGGCAAGGGAGCAAGGGGCCTGTGCCAGCCTGTTTTATTGGCCTCCTCTGTCAACGCCTTTCATTGAATTTTATTTTTTGGAGAGCAGAAAAAAGTCTTGAAGAACGAAAAGATTATTACAATAATGGGGCTTACGTAAGATTTGACTAGTAAAATCTGAACATCCCAGGTGGCAAATAGCATAAACAAAAACATGTGTGTGGGGGAAGCACCAGGCAGGGTGAGGGGTCAGGGGCCTGAGTCGGACTGCACCCAGGAATGCTCGTGGAAGAAGTGACATGTGGCTGGGGAGAAGGCAGTTTCTTCAATGGCCAAAAGGAAGACATGGGATAAGTGAAGCATTGGCTGTTTCTTGCTCCATAGAAAGTGAGGAGCTACCCTTTGGACTGCGTTCTATAAGAATTGTTCAAAATCAAGCGCGTCGGTGTGAGTGTAAAATGGTACAGCCACTTTGGAAAACTGGCAGTTTTTTTGAATAAAGTTAAACATTTTATGGCCCAGCAATTGCACTCCTAGGTATTTACCCATGAAAACTTTTATTCACACAAATACCTACTTATGAATGTTTATAGAGGCTTTGTTCCTAGTCACCAAAAATTGGAAATAACTTAAATGTCCTTCAGTTGGTGACAGGATAAACAAACTGTGGTATATTCATCCAAACAATGGAATCCTACTCAGAAAAAAAAGAAGTACTACTGATACATACAACATGGATGAAACTCAAATATGTATGCTAAGGGTAAGAAGACAGACTCTAAGGGCTTCCTATTATATAATTCCATTTATCTAACATTTGGAACGAGTAAAACTTAGTGATAGGCAAAAGATCAATGATTGCCAGGGGCTGGAGATGGGGCAAGGATTGATTACAAAGGGACATAAAGGACTTTTGGGGGCTGATGGAACATTGTTTTATCTTGATTGTGGTTATATGACTGTGTGTTTGTTTAAACTGACAGAACTATACACTGAAAAGGGCATATTCTGTATATAAATTATACTGTCATCTAGGAAAAAAGAAAAAAATCACAACACTTTTTATGAGTTTGGTATTAAAGCAAAATTGGGGGGGGGGGGGGAATCTCTCCGGATGTAGCAAAATCCAAGGGGAAAATTACTTTATAACATTTCCTGATAGAATATACTTTTCCATTCTCTGATTTAAAGAAATGGATTTAGAGCCCTAGCCAGTTTTGCTCAGTGGATAGAGCATCAGCCTGAGGACCAAAGGGTCCCGGGTTCGACTCCAGTCAAGTGCTCGTACCTTGGTTGCAGGCTCCTCCCCGGCCCAGGCCCTGGTCTGGGCTCATGCAGGAGGTGAACAAGCAATGTGTTTCTCTCACATTGGTATTTCTCTGTCTTGCCCTCCCTCTTCCACTCTCCCTAAAAAAATCAATGGAAAAATATCTTTGGGTGAGGATTAAGAAAAAAAAATAGAGAAAGAAAGAAATGGACTTAGAAATATTTATTGATTTCAATTTATTGAAATGACTGGATCTTTTTAACTAGTGCAATTATCTATATATGTAGAAACCTAAGCGACTGTTCCAACCGAACTGCCGGAATGACCGGAATGATGGGTCAAACAGTCGCTATGATGCACCCTGACCACCAGGGGGCAGATGCTCAATGCAGGAGCTGTCCCCTGGTGGTCAGTGTGCTCCCACAGCCAACCTCCCACAGGTCCTCCCCCGGCCGGCTGGCTCCCCCAATAGGCCTGGATCGCTGGCCAGGCCAAGGGACCCCACCCATGCACGCGTTCATGCACCAGGCTTCTATTACAGTAATAAAATCCTTTGTCAGTTACTATTGTCCACTCTCTTGCCTGGCTCACTGCTTCTTAATTTCTCCTCATGGTGGGGATTAGTTAGCCCTCATATTTATTTTGCTTCCTCTGCCAGCGTCTGGAACAAGCTTGGCTGGTGGCTGTGGGTTCATGGCCTGATTCCAGGACTTGAGGTGATCTTAGGAATCACTGAGAGGTTGGACCCTTCTTTGCCTCCTGGAACCAAGTACTGGCTTTATACTCTAGTTCTAGCAACCATGTCCTTAACTGATTTCCTTATTGCCTGACCCCTGCTTTGGTGTCTAGTTTGCTTTTAGAACCTCCAAATTCCACCTCAAACCATATTAGATGATGTATTATATCCTGAGCACTAAATGCTGAGGAAATGAGAATGATAACATTGATATAGCACTTAGTATGCTATTTGACTCTGGGCTGTGTCTTAACGTCTCGGTTTTAATTTCTTTATCTGTAAAATAGCTTAATAACGCCTGTCTCCAAGAATCACTCGGCAATCAAAAGGAGTGATATATATGAAACACCTGGCATATCTTAGGATCTCATTAAACTGTTTGCTAATATTTCCACCCCTTTTTTCGGGCGGAATCCGAATTCCCGAGGGCGGAATCTTTTTTGTAGCTGGCAGACGCACACCCTCCATAAATCAGAGATCCTCCGACTCCGTGTGCCTGTGAGTCAATGAAGAGCTTGTTAAAATGCAGCTTCCTGGGCCTCAAGCCTAACTCAGTAGATCCGGGGTGGGGTCTAGGAATCCACATTTCTAACGTACTCGCCCAGCTGATTCTGCCAACACTGTCAGTCAGTCTTCAGGTTATACTTGGAGAAATAAGAGTAAGGTAAAATATCCCAGTCCAGTTTTCTTTGGAATTATGCTAACGCATTATAAACACACTTAAAATCTGAACATTTCTCAGTTTTAGAAACTCACCTTTGTAACTTCAGCTTAAGCACTGAGCTCAGACGGTGTTTCGGTGAATGCAGTATTTCCAAAGAAACTGGCACGGTTTCCTTACACACTGTCCTTCTGGAGGCGTGTTGAATGTGAATTTGAACTCCCGATAATGGATGACAGCTGACATTGAGTCAGCTCAGCCTCTTGGCTCCTTTGTTTTAAGAGTAGTATTTTAGATGTTTCAAAATATCTGGCATTGGTAATGGCATGAGGTAAAGCCACCTTTTGTAAGATAGACAACATGTAAGTTCTATTTCAAGCCACAGCATTAATTATAGGATTTGAAGACAGAATGTTTATAGAACATTCAGATTTTTTGATGAGAGGAAATGAAATAGTTACATGGTTTCCATAGGCAGAGTTAATGTTTGCTTGTGAATATATGTTAGATGTTGAAGCTCTCTAGGCTCTTTGGGGATAGAAACTTCCGCTGGCCCTGGAAAAGGATTTTTAAAACCTCAATTGTTTAATTATCAGCTCAATTACAGGGAAGGTGTGAGCCTGTATACTGTTAAGTTCATGCCTAAAAAGGCAACCTATGAACCAGGAGGTCACAGTTTGATTCCGGTCAGGGCACATGCCTAGGATACGGGCTCAATTCCCAGTGTGGGGCATGCAGGAGACAGTGATCAATGATCCTCTCTCTTCATTGATGTTTCTCTCTCTCTCTCCCTCTCCCTTCCTCTCTGAAAAAAAAATACATACATATATATTTTTTTAAAGGAATGTTCCATTAGATCAGTAGTCGGCAAACCGTGGCTCGCGAGGCACATGCGGCTCTTTGGCCCCTTGAGTGTGGCTCTTCCACAAAATACCACGTTTTTAGCAAAGGCCAGCTTAGGAGTATCCTAATTAAGTTAATAACAATGTACCTACCTATATAGTTTAAGTTTAAAAAATTTGGCTCTCAAAAGAAATTTCAATCATTGTACTGTTGATATTTGGCTCTGTTGACTAATGAGTTTGCCGACCACTGCATTAGATCAATCCAGGTTTTAAGAACAAATGAATTGGATCCACTTACCAAGGATTTTGGAATTCTGGACTTTATGAAAAACAAACAAACAAACACATAAACCAGTGTTAAAAGGCACATAAGTAGTAAAATCTTTAAAACATTATTAAAGCTTTTACTTAAGCAGCACTTGGTGTCAGACACTGCACTAAGCCTATTGCATATTAAAGTCATGTACTTCAAAATTGTATGAGGTTGGTGATGTTATTATTCCCATTTTACAGATGAGGAAAAAAGCAAACAGAAGTTAGTTACTTGCTTAAGGCCACACAACTAATAAGGGGTGGGTGACACTAGGTTTGGATCTCAGATAGTCTAGGTCAGTGATGGCGAACCTTTTGAGCTCGGCGTGTCAGCATTTTGAAAACCCTAACTTAACTCTGGTGCCGTGTCACATATAGAAATTTTTTGATATTTGCAACCATAGTAAAACAAAGACTTATATTTTTGATATTTATTTTATATATTTAAATGCCATTTAACAAAGAAAAATCAACCAAAAAAAATGAGTTCGCGTGTCACCTCTGACACGCGTGTCATAGGTTCGCCATCACTGGTCTAGGTTCAGCGTATGTTAGTAAAAAATGTATTTAGTAGATCTTTGAGCCTTGTGTTGTCCTCAAGTCATCTTGAATGATTTAAAAATGAATATTACCCATATGTCTTCTGTCCATGCTAACATCCGTCATCATTGAATTATTTCACAGGTTTATTTCAAAAACCAGCTGAAGTTGGCCCTTATTGGTCAGAGCCTCTTTGGACAAGAAGTCTACAGCCACCTCTGCAAAGAGGGCCATCGTGTGGTGGGGGTGTTCACAGTTCCAGACAAGGATGGAAAAGCTGACCCACTGGGTGAGTGTATCAAGGACTCTGAACTGGACTTGCAACTATTCAGCCTGGGGCCCACTCAGAGCCGGCATCTCTCATTAGCATTTCTGTACTTCCACTGACTTGCCACAGGCCCGGAAGACCTAGATTGCATGCCTCCCTTCTGGGCTCTGCGGCTTCCGCCGGACCTATTGAAAGCCTTGTCTGGCCAAGTCTATTGGCATGGTGGACATAAGAGTCAAAAATTCTCCTTCCCTGTGGGTCCCAAGACAAAGGAGCAGGCACCTGTTGTATTGAGTTTCTCCACTTATCTCCATGGTAATCATCAGATCCATCAGCGGAATTTCCAGGCATATATTTTTTTCTGAGTTACACTTGTGACTTTTCAAAGAATAGTACTTGATGCAGCGATGCCAAAAGGAATACAGGGAAGACCACGCCCAATCCTAGATATTGATGTGGGGTCATAAAGAAGGCATTTGTCTCAGAGCAAATTATAGCTGGGGCTGCTTGGTGATTACGGTAGATAAAGAAGACAGCCTCCTCAGAACAAACCTGCAGTGTATTTCTTTTGTTGTTGTTGTTAATCCTCACCCGAGGATTTTCCATTGATATATTTTTTAGAGAGAGTGGAAGAGAGAGGGAAGCATCGATGTGAGAGAGACACAGATTGGTTGACTCCTGCACGCACCCCGACCAGGCCCTTGACCAGAATCAAACCCAGGACCCTTTGGTCCGCAGGCCGACACTCTACCTACTGAGCCAAACCGTCTAGGGCTGCAGTGTGTTTCTGATTTGCATGCTATGGTTAGGTCAAGAAAGGGTGCAAGGCCCTGGCTGGTGTTGCTAAATGGTTAGAGCCTCAGCCCATGCACCAAAGGGTCTCAGGTTGCAGGCTGGATTCCCGGCAACCAATCGATGTGTCTCTTTCCTGTCCATGTTCCCCCCCCCCCCCTCTCTCTCTCTCTCTCTCTCTCTCTCTCTCTTCTACTCTTTCCAGAAAGCAATGGAAAAAAATATCCTCAGGTGAGGATTAAAAAAAGAAGAAGAAAGGGTGTAAGACACAGAGATAGAAACAGTCTACAAATAATACAGGTCAGGAACAGGACTAGTGCCTAGAAATCTTGGCTTATGACTTGGGACTTCATGAGTCACTGGTATGATGCAACATGTTGGTTGAAAAATAATATACCAATAACCCTGAAATTTTACTTTTTTCTTGAAAGAAGCAGCTCTGGGGTTTTTCCTCATTCTTGTTATTACTTTTAACAATATTATATTTTAATATTATTTTTCAAGAGTCAAACTAAAAGAAAAGTTGGGCCAAGAACCCATATGCACATGAATTTAATCACTGATTTAAAAATTGTCTTTGTTTCAGAAAAAGGTTTCCTCAACCTGGGGAATTCTGAGGGAACCTGCCTCATGCATTTTTATATACCTGGCTCCAACTGCTTCTTTTTGAATGATTCCTGTTGCTAGGACTATCTCTCTATTTTCACTAGTTCTGTGTGGGATATTTGGGAAGACTTAAATTTAGGATATCAGATTTTCTGTTGTATCAGAGGGACCCCAAATAATATTAGCTTGAATTAAGATAGAAGTTCATTTCTCAAGTCTGGGTTGGCCATCTGAACTGTTGTGACAGTTCTGCGTTTATCACGATGAAAGCTCTTTCTGTTGTTTTGCCATGGAGTTCCATCCCATGGTCCACGTAGCTTCTTCCGCCCTGACTATCCAGTCTGCATCCAGCAAGCAGCAAGACAAAGAGAAGTAGAGGGCAAGTTTTTCATTAAGGGCATAATCCAGAAGATGCACATATTATTCCTACTTGTGTCCCATTGGCTAGAATTTACTTACAGGTCAAATCTGAGGACAAATTTGCAGGACAGGCTGAGCCATACAGATTTTATTCAGTGTGGCTATGTGTTCAGCTAAATTATAGGAATCCACTCATGAAGGATGAAGGGGGTCAACAAGCAGTCTCTGCCATGTACATGAACTTCAGAAGAATTGCAAGCATGTGATTCTTAGACCTTTCACAATTTTCTCCCAATTTAACTTTTTTTTTTTTTACCGTGTATCTATTTTCCTATTATCTGACATTTTAGTGTATCTATTTTCCTATTATCTGACATTTGAGTTGTTTACAGCTTTTGAGCATTTTATGAATATTTACATTTTATGAACATCATTATACTGGTTTCTCAAGTTCTTCCAAATGGATTGATCAAGGCATCACCTTGATGGCCTTCAAGACTTACTAGGCTTTGGAATTGAGGCTTTGTGGCGTAGGCATCCCATCTGGAATCAATGAATATTGATGATTGGATTAAGAGAAGGAAAGGGAACCAAAAAATATATAGGTAAAAAGCCTAAAATGTAGTTACTTTGAGTTACCAATGAAAAAGAAATGTACTTAATATTTTAGGGTATACAGTAGTAAAAATGAGATTTTATTATGGAAAAAACATGCTTGCGCTGTCTGCACTTTGAGGGCCAGTCCATTTCACACAGAGGTAGAATGGAGTCATTCCTTTTATTTTATTTTTTAAAATATGTTTTTTAAATTGATTTCAGAGAGAGGAAGGGAGAGAGGAAAAGAGAATCATTGATCAGCTGCCTCCTGTACACCCCCTACTGGGGACTGAGTCTGCAACCTGGGTCTGTGCCCTGACTGGGAATCAAGCAGGACCTCCTGCTTCATGGGTGGACACTCAACCACTGAGCCACCCTGTCTGGGCAAGAAGGGACACTTTCCAGGACAGAGCCTAGGATCTGCTCCGGTATGGCCGAACCCTACAGGGAGCATGTGTTCTTCAGTCTTGGCCTCTCCTCCCCTAACTTATCTGATTGGTGAACTTGGGTGAAGGAACTAGACAGGTTCAGCTCAGCTCCTTTCTCCCTTTATCTTTTGGGCTCTGCCTGTTTGGCAGAGAGAAGGTGTCCTGGTTTACAGTTTGCCCTGTGATTAAAGGGACTCTCCTCAACCAACGGGCATGGGAAGAAACTTGAGGTTTTCCAACTGTGCCAGAGACTGAGTATGTCTAATTTGGGTGGTGATGTATTGGCACCTGGCTCCAAATATTTAAAAAACAACAACAACAAGCAAATGTTCTTTAAATGGCGGGATCAGTAAGAGAAGTACAAATTTTGATCCATAAAAGAAAGCCTCAGTTAAAAATCTCAAAAAATGTTATCTAGCTACAAATGTTTGAGTTCAAACATTATACCTTAAATCTATATATTTAAAAGCTTAAGCGACCGTTATGACCAGTCGACTGAACGACCGGTCGCTATGATGCACACTGACCACCAGGGGGCAGACGCTCAACACAGGAGCTGCCCCCTGGTGGTCAGTGCACTCCCACAGCCAACCTTCCATGGCCAGCCAACCTCCTGCGGTCCCTCCCGTGGCCAGCCGGCCCCAATCAGCCCCATTCGGGGCTGGGCGAGACCGCCCTGATTGGCAACCAGGCCAAGGGACCCTACCTGTGCACAAATTCGTGTATGGGACCTCTAGTACATAGATAAAAATCACAGTAGAAACCTAAATGGTTCATGGTAAAATTATAGCAGGTCAAATCCTGGCCAGAATCTAAATTGTTCTTCGCCATGTTTTATTTGTAAATGTTTCACAAAGCTATAAAATTACAATGTGTAGCTCTACAGCAATATGAAATTATGGCTAAAATTACTTTTAATGAAAACAATCTTCTCTTTCATGCTCAGCTTTGGCTGCAGAGAAAGATGGGACCCCTGTGTTCAAGTTCCCCAGATGGAGAGTCAAGGGCAAGACCATAAAGGAGGTGGCAGAGGCCTACAGATCCGTGGGTGCCGAGCTAAACGTGCTTCCTTTCTGCACACAGTTCATCCCCATGGATGTAATTGACAGCCCAAAGCACGGTTCCATCATTTACCACCCGTCCATCCTTCCCAGGCACAGAGGAGCCTCTGCTATCAACTGGTGAGATGTTTTGTTTTATTTTTATTTATTTTATTTGTAATTAATTTCAAAGAGAAAGAGAGAAGGCAAGACAGAAACATCAATGATGAGAGAATCATTGATCAGCTGCCTCCTGCATATGCCCCACACTGGGAATCGAGCCCACGCCCCGGGCATGTGCCCCGGGCATGTGCCACTGAGCCATGCGGGCTAGGCTGGTGAGATGTTTTTAATAACAGAGAAAATGAGCCTATTCCTATTGCCCACAATCTTTCTGTTTTTTACCTAGATGATCAAGGAAGTAGGTACGCTTGAACAATTGTGAGGTCCTGTATGATTGCTACTGTTGCATGAACTCTCCTGAGAGTTAGAGGAACTGCATAAGACAAAACAGCATTTCCCAAGAGTGGTCTGTAACCAGGTTACAAGAATGGGCTTCAACTAGGTTTAAACAAAGGTTCTACCATCAGACAAGCTTGGTTATACTGGATTTTCTTATCACAGGACTTGTTAGAGCTTGTAATGTTAGCATCATAATCTCCCGGAGGGAATCTGAGTACACAGTGTTCCCAAACTTATTTGATCATAGAACTTTTTTTTTCTTTTGCATAGAACATCTCAAGTACATTTCAGGAAATGCTGAGTTACCTGAAATTATCTTTGTTGTCTGTCTTCCCCCACTCAACTTTAAGCTTCTTGAGGGAGGGACTATGTTCTATTTTATTGCTGTATTTCCCAGAATCAAGAACGATGCCTGGTACACTGTAGGTACCCAATGCCATAAGTCAGTGGTCGGCAAACTGCGGCTCTCGAGCCACATGCGGCTCTTTGGCTTCTTGAGTGTGGCTCTTCCACAAAATACCACGTGCGGGTGCGCACGTACAGTGCGATTGAAACTTTGTGGCCCAGGGGAGAGAAACCAAGATGGCGGCATAGGTAAACACTGAAAATTGCTGCCTTGCACAACCACTTCAAAAATACAACTAAAAGACAAAACGGACATCATCCAGAACCACAGGAAGGCTGGCTGAGTGGAAATTCTACAACTAGAAGTAAAGAGAAAAGCACACTGAGACTCAGAGGAGGTTCGGAAGTAAAGTGCAGAGGTATGGAGGCGCATGTGGAAAGGGCTGGTAACTGAGGACGTGGTTGTCTTTCTCAATCAGGAGGGAGTCTCAAGCTCCCGACTGCTCTGAACTCCAGTTCCGGGCAAGTCTCTGGGGACCCAGACTCATACGGGGAGAAACTGGACTGTCTGGCATCGAGGGTGGCTTTCTCTCAGAGGTGCTTGCAGCGATTACTGGGACACTGAGACTCGGGGCCTCTTAGGGTAGGACTGAGGAGCAGCCATAGCTGCTTGCTCCACCCTGTTGATTCCCTGAGACCCCACCCTACCCAAGCTGTGCCCAGAGGCTTTTGCATATGAAAGGCCTGGCCCTTTGCAATCTGAAAATTACCTAACAAACTGCAGCTGGGTCAGAGAGACCCAGAACTTCCAAAAGAAGGCCCAAGGCCCCACAGCAGCTTGCATTGCTTCACAGCTGGGCCTCATCTGGGCACCTCCAAACCCCAAACAAAGAAGAGGAATCTGCAGATCTCTCCATAGCTCCTGCTGGGTAGCCTCAGGCAGAGGCTAAATTAGCACCTCCTTAGAGATCCAAGAGCCAGTGTACCCAGTGGTCAGAGTGGGACCATCCAGATTACAACTCCTCAGATCCATAAGGGACACACTCAGGGGGCAGACTCAGTGAGCACCAAAGCCCCACTGAAGCAAGTCTTGCCCCAGAAGGGTGTCTCCAGCACAGAAGTTCTCCCACTGTAGACACAGCTGATTCTCACAGCCAATTGGCCTGGAGGTCAATTCCTCCCAGTGATACCTACAACAATCAAGGCTTAACTACAACAAGACTGTGCACAAAGCCCACAAAGGGGTGCACCAAGAGTGTCCACCTCAGGTAATTGGGGAGGCTAAGCCACTGGGCCCTATAGGACACCTAGCACAGAAAGCCACTCTATCAACACAGGGAAGCAGCCAAAATGTGGAGACAAAGAAACAGGTCACAAATGACAAAAATGGAGGAAAGCAAAC